CATATACTCCTGAGTAAAATGGAGTTGCTGAAAGGAAAAATAAGAGTCTGATAGGAATGATACATTGTATGCTTAGAGGAATGGGGGTACCAAAATCTTATTGATATTTTACTGTTTTGACTTCTATCTCTCTGTTTAATAATATGCTGAGTCGTGTTCTACAGCATAGAGCTCTCTTACAGGTCTTATTTCCTGAATGAACACTTTTTTTGATCCCCCTTCATGTTTTTGGTTACACATGTTTTGTTCAGGATAGGTCTCCAACTCGTCATAAAGCTTGATGATAAAGCAATTCTTTGTATTTTTATGAACTATTGTCATTAGTCTAAGGGGTATAAGTATTATGATCGTTTTAGGCGTCGTATATATCACAGTCTAGATGTTACCTTTTTTAAGCATATTCCTTATTTTTCTTCCAATCCTGTGTTTGCCCTTCCAATTGATAATACTTCCTATGATTTTCCCTTACATAGAACCGGTCATTGTTACTACAAAGTCACCAATTTCTTCTCCTCCAGAGCCACTCCTCCCTGTCACCACAGAGTGATCAGTCTCATCTCCTTTGCAAGTTTGTGTTCGTCGTCCTCACTTGTATCCCCCTGTTAATGTCTCCTCCATCTCAGGCGATGCAAGTAATATTTCTCAGTTCATTGAGCATATTGATGCACCTTTTGTTAGTACTAATGATATTACAGGTAGTGGATAATTTACTTTACCTTATGAGACGTTGTCAATAGAGGATGATGATTTAGGGCGTTGTTATCCGCGACGTGATTGCAGTCCAGTTGTTCGTTATGGTTAGACCGCCAGGACTATATATCTAATCTTTGATTATATTTCTTATGGTGATCTGTCTCCAACATTTTAAGCATATAGTATGGTCTTATCAGATACGTCGGTTCCTTGCTCCGTTTCAGAGGCTATGCGGTAGCCCTAGTGGATTTTTACCATACAGACAAAGGTAGACGCTCTTCAGCATAATCATATGTGAGATCTTGTCTCTTTACCTTCAGGGGTGAAGCCTACTGATTGTCACTGAGTTTATATCCTGAAGTTTCTTTCACATAGTACTACTGATCGTCACAAGGCTAGGCTTGTAGCGAAGGGCTTTACTTAGGTACCAGGTCGAGAATTTGGTATTCCTTTACTCCCGTGGCAAATTAACTACTGTTCGGTTGATTATTTCTCTAGTTGTGGAGTAATCTTGGCCTTTTTACCAATTGGATGTGACGAATGTGTTTCTTTACAGTGATCTAGGCGAGACCATTTATATGGATGCACCACCGGACTTTCGTAGTGTGAGGGAGTATGCTGAAAGTTGTGTCAACTGCGTAAGTCTCTTTATAGACTGAAACAGTCACCAGGAGCCTGATTCTCTTGCTTTCGTGGTTTAGTTGTACATTCAGGGTTTACCAGATGTCATTCTGATCATACATACTTTATTCGACAGAATATTTTTAGACAGTGTGTCATCTTTTTGGTATATATTGATTATATTATTATTATTGAGATGATATTTCTGAGAATGCGCAGGTCAAGGTAGACCTTGAGAAGGCCTTCGATGTCAAGGACCTTAGATTTCTACGATACTTTCTTGGGATTGAAGTTGTCCGTAGCAGCAAGGGTATTGTTCTTTTTCAGAGGAAGTATGTTTTGAATCTTCTCTCAAACACTAGGATGCTGGAGTGCAAACCAGCATTATCACTCATGATATCAAACCCGAAACTTACTGCTAAAGGTGAGGAGTTAAGAGATCTGATTGTCTATCAAAAGTTGGTAGGTAGACTTATCTACCTAGTCAACACTAAGCCAGACATTTCATTCGCTGTCATCCGAATTAGTCAATTCATGCACAGGCCGTGTCAACCTCATCTTGATACATTTTATCATATTTTTCGGTACCTCCAGTTTTGTCCTAGACTTAGGTTGCTCTATGCATCAAAATTTCAGACCGGTTCTCTAGCCTGTTATTCAGATTCAGATTATAGGAGAACGTGTGACAGTCAATCTATTACATGTTTTTGTATTTTTTGAGGGACTCATCTTATCTCTTGAAAAAACAATAAGCAAGTAGTTCTCTCCTGCTCATCAACAAAGACAGAGTATGGGACACTGACACTTGGCACGTGTGAGATTATCTGCCTACGATCAATTCTTGGCAAGTTAGAATTTTCAGTGACTTCTCCATCTACATTATATTGTGAGAATCGATATGCTATTCAACTCACTTTTGACTCTATACTACACGAGAAGACGAAACATATAGAGATCGATGTTCACTTTCTTTTGGAGAAGGTTAGCTGTGATATTATCACTCCATTGTTTGTGCGGACCGGTAATCAGATTGCAAATGTTTTCACCAAACCTATCATTCTATCAATTCTTCAGGACTCTATTGTCAAGCTTAACTTAGTTGACATTTTTGCGCCTACCTTGAGGGGAGTGTTGGAGTTATAGTCTAGTTTATTAGGATTTCTTTTTCTTTTTTACCCTTACTATGACTTTTATGTTTTGCCTAGACCAAAGGAATGTTCAGGTCACTTTATACTATTGTTTGGCTATATATATAATGCTCTACTCTTAGTTTGGGTATCCCTTTTCACTCACGAATATTCCAAGTGAACACACTCAGTGCCGCTTAGACGCAAGTGGCTAATTAATTCTAGCAAGTTTAAGTTGTTTGGACGCAGCTAGCACTGTCTAGACGTGCCTATGAATTCCATTCCAGTGACTTTACTCCATTAGGATGTGAGCCATCGAAACACGTGTTTTGGTTGTCACACACGACTTTTAGACATGATGCAATCCTCTTTGACAACTTGTGCTAAGGCCACCCCTAGCTCCCTCTAGTATAAATAGGACCTCTTAGGTGTTGAGAGAGGATCCTTTTAATAGCCTTTACAATCTTTTCTTGTAGTTTTTGAGATCTATCAATAGATCAAAAGTAGTTCCCTTTGTACCTTTTAGCCAAGGATATGGGTTTGTGATTATTTATTCAAATAATTATTTTATGCTATTATTATTTTGTTTTTCACATTAAATCTTTATTTTTCAAAATTGATTGATTGATTGCCTTTAGCAAAGTTTTATACTCTGCAAAATTATTTGATTGATTATTAATAAGATTGAGTTCTTTGTATGGTCGATGCTTATAATTTCTTGCGAGTTTTGTAAACTAATTCTTCAAATCTTACTTTCAGATCAATCAAATCAATTGTGTGTTTAAAGATATATTTTTCATTGATTTTAAACTGACGTTGGAAATCAACTGAATTATTATAAAATTGCAAGAATATAATTGTATGATGAATATGATCATATCCGAATCCCAAAACTAAGGGGTCGTTTTCCTATACTTGTTTACCTTAACTTTTTCTAAAATTGTTCCTTAATCAATTCAACATTTCTTAAAACATTTCCCATTCTTCATTTCCCTTAACCATCTGATAGAGATGGAAAAGGGATTGGATGAGCTTAAATTGAAATTTTGAATTTTATTATTTGTTTTACTATTATTATATTAGTTAGAGAATATTTGTTTGACTAGGAGAATTAGTTAGATTTTGATTAGGAAATTATTATGGAATTTTAGTAGTATAGGAGATTAAGAGTTTAATTATGAACCTCTTTTAGAATTTTAATAAAAAAATAGTTTTTATTTTGACAGGAGACTTGTCCTAAAAATATCAATATAATCCCCACTACTTTAATGAGAATGTGATATAATAAAAATTGTTTCTCAATGGAAAATTGTGTGTTTTTTGACCGATTCCTTGCGAAGATGAAATAAATTCCTTCCACCCCTCTTCTTTCTTCTTCTCTTTCTATTCTCTGATTTCTAGTCCTTCACATCCTACATCACCTTCAAATTCCATTATCTATATGGTTAGACCTCAAACTTACCAAAATATTATTACTTCTTGACTGACTATACTTTGGTGTACCATTCGGGATCAAACAGTAAAAGTCCTACAAGAACTATTTTGTATTCAAAGTGGGGTTTTTAATTGTCAATAAAGCAGCCTTTCTTGCAATGGTGATGCCCCCCCCCCCTTAAATTTGATAGGTTATTATATTACGTGAATAAAAAAATAACTCTTGAAAAATGCTTAAGTCTTACAAAATTTGTAGGTTCATTTTCTACATTATTATAAAAGGAGATTGTATATTTTAAAGGACGATTAGAGAGCCTAAACACAATGGCCAAACAAAAAGCTATCACTCTTCTACAATTGCCAATAGCAGCTCAAAGGCACCCAGAAACTATTTTGCCTAAAACTTTGCCCTGTGCCTTTAATAACGCAAGATTGCATGTGATGGTAACTAAATTATCTCCAACAAATCATAATTGGTTAGCGAGATTTACTACTCAAGTCCGCCAGTAACTATTGAGATGGATAAATACAACTCCCATAAGCATGGTTCAAAGTATCAACCGATACCAATACGAGTCGTATTCGACTCATCACCTTCCCAAACAATACTATTACACGATACATACAAACCCCGAGTCTTGCACGACTCGATCGAGTCGTCCGAGTTGTATCGGTGTCGGGGAACCATATTAATCATTTGATGACGATATCTCAACGACTTAGGATTGACCGATGTCTCTCAAAAGCTCTCCGAGTTCTATATAACTGTAACCTTGACCCATGCCCATAAGAAGCCCAATCTACATAATTGACTTCTATATAACTGAAATTTGAGAAAGACTCTATTTTAGATTTTATCTAAGTCAAAAGACATTTAAACATTTATTTTTGATAGAAGAAAACTAGAAAATACACCATTTATGAAATCTAGAGGTTTTGAATACCAATCAAAGTAGGTTTTATAGGAGACCGGCTCAGATTAATGGGCCCTGGATCTTAAGAGATGCAATTCACGAAGTATGAACTATAGAAATAAGTAGTAGTTGTACCATTAGAACTTGTATAATGCCATGATAATGCTATATCAAAATCACTACGTGTTGCTTATCAAAAATCACAACATACCAGAGGTAATGTCAATTCACTGTTAGCAACAAGACAAGATCTACCCGATCCAACTGCGCCCTCACCGTAACCCCGCACACTGCCAAGTCCCCCAATGGCAAATGCTTGATAAGGAGCTATGTCCCCTACAACAGAACCACCTGTAAGGCTGTCACAGGAAAAAAGTCAGAATGACAGAAAATAAGCTCAAAGGAAGAAAGAAAGAAAAAAAATTAGTATGCCATATGTTTTTATGAAGCACACAGGGACTGTTAAGCACATCATGCTTCCTGGCAAGGCTTCATGAAGTTTTCTCATCCTTTCTCATATTTACATTGAAGTTCTTAGACCTTTAGATTGATTCAAGACATTTGCTGCATGTTTCTAGAAATTGACAAAACTTGATCATGGACCTGTGCTAAGACTTTCTATGCATCTTTTTTCACTTACTATGTCCTTTTCTTATGCTCCTGAAATAATTCTCATTCATGCCACGACCATGACACTTCGTGTTTTAAAGTTCTTAATACTTTTATTCTCTATTTCAAACTAAATTCACCAACTTGACAAACCAAAAAAAATTATATTTCACCTTGTCAATAGAAATGCTGGCCCAAGTCTGATCCACTTTGATGCAACAAACTTGAACCGGTTGAAGACTAGCCATTTAGTTAGAAGAGGAATCCCTTGTTCTATTTGCAGACTAAACTGATTGCAATACAAATTGAATTCTTGTAAGATAAACTTAAACCTGAATTATGAATATTGCAGTGAATTCACATTAGGAATGTTGCAATTTCACTTGGTTAGTAAAGGTATCTTACTCGGGTGAAACTACGATCATTCACCTTTGCAAATCGAGACTCCTGCTTCAACACTACCCTACTGTCATGAGAACCACCACTGCGTAAAAAGCATTTTTCACAAACAATCAGTCTACCGACTTGGTGGAAAACATGATCCATAAATTGTATTAACTACCTGCAAGTCACTGGCAACCCATGAAGATCTCTGCTTATTGAGCGGCCTTCATCACTAACTGGGCAGACATGCTGCTTGACAAATAATAATAAATTTTTCCACTCAACTAGTAACAGTAAATATGCAAATAGTTGTATCGAAAAAATGTATGAAGATGACGGAGTAGTTCCTGGTGAATTTGATAAGACACTGACCTCAAACTTCAAACTGGTTTTGCTGCTCCAGTTGGAACTTTTAGGCTCACTCAAATCTAATCCTACAGCTAAGCGACAGAGATTCACACCTCTGCTATCTGAGCGGGAGAAGTTCTCAACGGGAAAGCCATGGATACCAATCTCAGGAGAAATTGAATGCTGGGCACCAAAATTAATTCAATTGAAATTCCAAGAGATGCAAAAAAATCCTCCTCACAAGAAGTACTTTACTTCGGATTCCCTTTCCCCATATTCAATTTCCAGAAGTTTGCAAGATCAGTTACAAAATTTCCTTAACAATATCGGTTCCCAAAAATTCCTATTATGTACACTTCCATTGTTTCAGCAATAGTGAGTCCACTCCTTCAATTATCCAGGCAAATTTAAATATGTGCAAGCTCAACTCAAAATCAAACCTGTGGATTTCATCTTCAATTAAGTATCCAAAATTAACATCCCAAAGTACCTACCAAGCCCAAGAATGACATTTAACAAAATGGTCATTTCATGAATAAAAGGAAACCCAACCACCATTTGAAATGTTCTAAAAATGAAATCTTTCATTCAAATCCCTTATTAATGTTCCGGAAATTAGGTTCAATTTGATTCCACCATTTTAGTTGAATTCAGAACATGTCAGCATCCATTTTTTCATCTGCAAAAAGAAATATGAAGGCAGAAGACAGCAACCTGAATGATAACAGACTGTTGACCAAGCCATTCAGGCCTCGGCTTCTTGTAAGCTACCAAGACATTGGAATCATAAAGTCCTTTATCCCACAATATATCAAGTTTTTCACATTTGCCAAATATATTGGAGTGTTTGATGCAAAGGCTGTAAAGAGAAATTAGGCAACCCATTACACCAAAACCCACCAACAAATTAAACAAAAATCCCAGACACTCCAAAAATTAAAACTTTGAAGTAGTAAAAACAAGAGACAGAAAAAGCGCACGCCACACACACACATCTTGAAATGACAACGACGATAATACCTACGTCCCAATAACTAGTGAAAATGGGCTACCAGAGTTCCTGTTTCAGCCAGAAGGAGTGAGCCCATAAGAAGAATGAAAAGAGGAAACATATAAAGCAAAAGGGTGACAATAGAATAGAACCTGAAAGAGTGGAGCATCAAAACAGCACATAGCTTGTGTGTTAAATCGACATTGAAGTCTATCTTGGCTGTCCAAACCAATGGTTCACTAAAAGCATCATACTCAATAGCTCAAGAATGAATACTATTATTACCATTGTAATACCGATACGGCTATAGTATAGTGTATTCACTATACCATAGATATATTTTTGGGTTAAATCAAAGCATTGAAATCGATATTGGCTGTACAAATAAATCACCAACCAATCACTTGCAACCTTACCACTTGCATAATTGGTTTGCCACACTTTTCCACACACCAAGGCATAAATACATAGTTGGGTTTTGAGTTTTAATTAGGATTAAATAGAAAGAACTGACCTTTGCCAGCGTGGATGCTCTTCTGAGCTCCCATCCCATAACTGTTCCACCATTCAATTGCAAGTGAAGATCAATTTTTCAATTGTTTCCCATTGACAGTACCAATGGGTCGACAGAAAATCTAACGGAGATGCAGAAAATGTTTCACAGGAGAGTTGATGCTTTGCGTGCTAGCGTCCTTCGGCAGCTTTTAATAAATAATAAAAGGGAAGTCTACGGTACTGCCCGGTCAAACAGCGGCACCATACCGAAAAGCTGTTGTAGTGTCAGAGCAAAAGACAAGCGAAAAAGGAAGAGCCGAAGGGACAACCGGCTAAACAGTAACTTGCAAGTTAAAAGTAATTTTTTATCGATCCTAATTTTGAATGATCGACAAAATGGATGTGGGTGGAGGACTTGTCGGAGAACAGTAGGTATAATTAAGATAGATCACATTTGTAAATATTTTTGATTTCAGAAGTTGGGTGATGATCGATTGTTATATAACATGATCAATCTATCATTTATCACAAGAAGATAGATGAAGGTGGTGCTTCTTGGGGAACAATAGGTACAATTGAGGTGGATCAGCGTATGTACGATCGATCATATTTTGTACAAATGTTCGATAGAATGTTTTATGATTGAACAAGTAAATTGTGATGGATAAGAGACTGAATTTAGAAAATAATATAATAATTTACTTCTAATTAAATTCAAAATATTAACCCTTATTTTAAAGAGTGTGAGCGATCCATAAAATTACGATTGATCAACAGAAATTGTTTAATAAAAAATACCTTAAATTCAATTTGAATGTTTTGTGATCAATCTAATAATAGATGATCGACAAAAAAAAATATATGATAATTTACTTGCAAAAAAATTCAAAATATTAACCCTTATTTTAAGTATTGTAATTGATCCATAAAATTATAATTGATCAACAGAAATTGTTCAATAAAAATATCTTAAATTCGATTGAAAGTTTTGTGATCGAACAAGTAAATTGTGATGAATAAGAAATTGAATGTAGTTTGATCAATCTAATAATGGTAGATCGATCACAAAAAATATGATAATTTACTTCCAAAAAAATTTCAAATATTAACCCTTATTTTAAGGATTGTAATCGATCCATAAAATTATGATTGATCAACAAAAATTGTTCAATAAAAATACCTTAAATTTGATTCAAAAAAAAATATGAAATTACAAAAAACACATCAAGTGTGGAGGGGCATTATCATTAGCTGTGGTTATTTTTGTCATTTTGCACTTTAAGTGTTATCAACACTCATTGCAAGTGTATTTTCCCATGACATTATTGAGTTCTCCCAAACCCTAACCCCCTTTGCTTGAACTAGTTAATGACATTACATCCCCCACATTGATTGTAAAACATATGGGTCCTCTGTACATTCAATCAAAGAACCTGTAGATCAACATGGCTGAAGGAACAATTGGAGCGACAAAGAAGAGGAAAGCAGTGAATGAGATGACTAAGCAAGTCGTTACTGCCCAAAAGAAGAAGGATGGTGAAACAGATAAAAGTTCAAAAGGTGACATTGGTTTCTTGAACGAAGAAGCAAAAACATTATTTGAAACTTGTTTTTGTCATCGGCCATTATTAGTGGAACGAGGCGTTGCACTAGGTGAGTTAGTTAAAACTGAGTGTCCTAAGTTTTTTGGAAGTCGTAATTAGCATAACATCTTTGATGTTAAGAAGGATGATAAGGCATATAACAACGTAGTTAGATTGTTTTATGCAAATTTACATGACTTTGATAAGATTGGGCACACTTTAAAGTCCATAGTTAGGGGTAAAGAGATAAAAGTTTTCCCTGATTTTATTTCAAAAATGTTAAAAGTTCTCAGGTCTGTCATCACTAAGAATACCATTGTATTTCCTTACAAAAATAAAGAGGAAGTCCCTAGCATGGAAACTATTATTGAGACAATTTGTGATGTCGCTATCGAATGGGTGGATGAAAACAGTAAAATATATCAGAAAGACCTTTATTTGCCTTATAGGATGTTAAACATAATAGTTGCTTGTAACATTGATCTCAAAGGACATACAACTGAACTTAGATATGATAGAGTTCAACTTCGATATGTGATTGGTAAAAGGGCATGCATTGACCTTCCCCATTACATATTCCAGCAGATTATGAATGCCTATAAGTTGCAGTATAGCAGGTGAAGTCTTCCATTTCCTATTTTGATTACAAATATTGTGAAGTTTTATAGGGTTGTGATTGAACCTGGCAAATCGCATACTGTTATCATGGGTATGATAAACGAGGGTACTATGAAAAAAAGTATTGGTCATGTTGGGCCTAGAAATTGTACCAAGACTGTGTCACAAGTGTCTTACTCCAAAATTGAGGGCATTACTATGACAAAGGGCAAGGGTTCAAGTGCCAGCCCATTCAACATGAATATTATTGAAGAAAAGTTGGAGCAAATAGTAATTGGGCAAATTGTTTGGTCACATAGTTGCATGCAGTTCAGGAATGCATGAAGGGATCTTTGGAAAAGCTGGAGAGTAAAATTAATAGAATGTACAAGGAATTTAAAGAGTATGGAAATAAGTGATGTCGATGGGTTTAGTGTGGAAGAAATTCCTATGAATGGAAATGTGTATATGCCTGTAATCTTTTGGGCCATATTAGATTTGGCGACCTTGTAACCTATAAAATGTAATCAATTCTGTTGAACAGAATCTTTTGGCAATGGTATGAAATATTTTGTTGTATGGTGTTGTTAATAGTAGTTTTTACAAATTTATTATTTCCAGCAACATTACAATAGTATATTAACATCAAAATGTAGTAACCTTACATCAAAATCTAGTAACCTGACATCAACATGTACTAACTTTTCATCAAAATGTTATAACCTCACCCCTAAAGATTAAAACATTACCTTTCCATGTAGTAACCTTAAAAAAATTTGTTATAACTGATATAAGGTTACCTCATTCCACTGATAACTGAGAAGTTTGTCCAAAATGAGTTGCAAACTTGAAACTTCTCACTCCTGATTTGCGTACATGAAAGTTGTCCAAAATGAATTTCATACATTAAACTTGTCCAAAAGTGGGGGTTTTACCCTATGTAAAATTTTTTTGAATTTTTTAGTCAATTTAAATAATGTTTCTTATGCAACTTTTCCAGCGATATGAAAATGCTCACCTTGACAACCCTTAAAGTGGAGTGAAGAAATTGTCCATGACCACTTGAGTGAAAGTCATGAAAGCCATCCTGAACAATCAATGTATTGATAAAGAATGGTTAGTTAAATGGTGCATTGCTTGATAACTTATAAAATAACAAATAAAAGGGGAACTTTGTGTTATACAGATGTTATTGAACTCCGCCCATGTTTATGTACATGTGCGAAAGGGTCAATTGGTTCTTGATTTGGCAATGGTTGTTGGGATCCACCTTCTTGTGAAAATGGCATGTCCTCATATGGATCAGTAGTCTGGGTAGTCAACAAAGGACATTTACGAATATTATGCCCGGTTGTCCTGCACTTGCTACATCTTCGGGACATAAATGGATTATTATTTTGTGTACGGCCTTGAATGTCCCTTTGTTGTAACAATATGTGGATCAGCTATCCCAAACTTATTTAACTTAGTAGTCCTACTTTTGTGTTGTATAGAGGTGTCCTCTGCTATACCAAGGGATTCATGATTGGTTTTTATCTGAGAGGTTAATCCATGCAATCTACTTCTTAGGTCCTGAGTTGCTTTGTAACCATGCGAAGCATAGTAACTCATATGACTACACATGGCCATTAGTCTAGCATACCATGTCAAAATGGTCAGAGTGTTACTTCTACGTGGCACGTCCTCAGTTCCAAAATCTCCCTTTGCGAAAATAGTCCAGCGCTTTAGAATGAGACACGGAGGGAACCATTTAATGTGCTCATATTTTAGTACTGTTACGATGTGGCAGCATGGAATACCAACAAATTTCATTTTTAAGTAGTTGCACTTCATACAATATGTTTTGAGGAGAACATATGACATTCCATGTTGATTTTGGTTGCATGTAGTGAGACAAGTAGTAACTCCAATGGATCCCGTTGTCAATTTTTGGAGTACAAAGAACATGAATTCGGACTTCAACTTATTACGCACTTTGTGGAACAATTTCCTTGTATATATAGATGTTGCATGCTCGTCAAGACACTGCAATTGTGTGGTTGTCACTAGGGATATGTGTTGGGTATCATGGTCATCATTTGCTTCATTCTCCCTGATCCTTGCCAAAGTCCGGTCATATTGCCTCACAAACTCAAAGAGTCGGAGACAGGTCTTCAGAACATACCCTCACATTGTTGTGTATTTTTTATGCCCGCAAAGAATTTACCTCTTAAATATGCTTCAACCCACTTTGATCGTTTGAAATAAACTTCTGATATCCAATTATTATTCTCTAATCCAAATGAATCTATCAATGCTTTCCATCGATCTCAAATTCTTTCAGACTACAGCAACCACACATACAATGTTTAAATTGTTGAACAAAATTTTCAGCATTAATATTTGACAACGCATTTCTTGTCAAATGCCACCTACATAATTTGTGTGTTGTATTGGGAAAAACTTGCTCTATTACTCTTGCCATGGCCTTATCACCATCGGTGACAACTAAAATAGGCGTCTTACCCTCCATTGCATGAAGAAAAGTATGAAATACCCACATGTATGTCGCAACAGTCTCATCTGAGAGCAAGGCACACCCAAAAATTGATGTTGCATTATGGTTGTTGACACCTACAAGTATAACAAAAGATTTCTTATATGCATTAGTTCGGTATGTGGTATCAAATACTAAGACATCGCCGAAGCATGCATAGTCAAGTTGTGAGGATGAGTCTGCCTAGAACAAACAATTTAATGAATTATCTTCATGGACACTGTAGTTGAAATAGAACATAGGGTCTGATTCTTTTTTTTACTAAAGTAGCTTAATGCCCCCATAGCGTCATCGTCTTAAAGTTGGGATCGACGTTCTGTCACAACATCATTGTACAAATCTTTCATGGTAAATCCAATATTATGATAACCTCCTACTTGTTGCCCCAAAAAATCCCTTACTTGACTTGTATGTATGCCAACATTACGCAATGCATTTGTTTGTTCTCTATCGGGATTCTTCACATGCCTATGCGATCGAAGGAATGACACACCACGTGGTGTAACCAATTGGTGATTATGTTCCTGGATGAATTCTATTACAACCCACTATTCAGAACCATTGTCATACTTGACATGAAATGTTGGGTTACATCCCACCCTTGTTAAGCCTCTTAGTTCCCGAATGTGGTCATTGCGGTGAAGGTTTTGGGTCATCGATAACCTTCTTTTGAACAAACCCACCATCTTGACACTGGAATTTTATTTTTGTTACACTTCAAGTCATCTTTCCGAACACTAAATTCCAAAAATTTTGTGTAATTGTTAAAAAACTCCCTAGCCGCATCATGTGTGGTGAAAGTCATTTGCATTACCTCACCCACTGTCAACCCATCGACTATATTTTCCTCAACACCATGATCAGAAAATGTTTGGTCATTTTGCATATGATTCTTGTACTTATCATCTGTTACGACAACATTCAGATCTAATAGTACACCTTTACTGTAAACCCCCACACTTTTATTTTAATATGTAGAAGTAAATATATGAAATTTTTTGTAATCAAACTTGTACCAACTATGTTGGATGTCCAAATGTATGTTGTATAAGTTTGGGTTGGTTTTGGAAGGGTTTGGAATGGATTGGAAATGAAAAACAAAGAAAACAGACAAAAATGAATAGATCGTACCGGTACGCCTGAAAGTTAACATACCGGTACAGCATACCAGTACGATACTGTCCAGAGAGTTTATCGTACCGGTACTGCGTATCAATACGCTCTATAAATTTCAAAAAATTTAAGTCGCGATCTGGGGTCCATTTTTTATCCTATAAATACATAATGACACCTCCATTAGCCCCATTTCAACATTTTTAACCCTAGAAAACCTTGGAGAGGAAGAAAGAGAGGGAAAAACACAAGATCAAAGGGAATTTGCACATTGGATTGGATCAAAACCCTAATTTTTCAAGAACACCAAGGTAGGGGTTCATTCTATTCTTGACCATTGAGACTAGGACTTATATATATATATATATATATATATATATATATATATATATATATATATATATATATATATATATATATATATATATATATATATATGTATGTTTTTATATATATATATATATACACACACACACTATGAAATCATCATTTCTTGTTATTTTTGGCTAAGATTACCATGTTTTAAACAAAGCTAGGGTTAGATAACCATGAAAACTCTTTTCTAGTCATAAAACCCTAGTTTTCGAGAGAAATGGATTTTTCTCTTGATTTTTTCCTTGTTCTTGATTTCAAAACTTTAGTGCTTTGTAATGAACAATAAAAATATATTGTTGATGATCACTTGCTTATTTTCTTAAATTGTTCTCTTGTAATACAAATTGTGAAATTTAGGAATTTTAGATTTCTTGTGATTTGAGAAAATCTTTGTTATTGCATCTCTTGTATGATTGTTGTGATGGACTTGAATTACATTCGAGCATTGTCGTTGAGTGTTAGAGGTTAGTCTATCCCAGTGGGGGGTGAGATGATTTTCTAACACTTGTAGTGGATTGTTGTTTGTGAGAGCAACCACTATTATTCACGTAAGTTCGAGGTTGAGGGATGATATACCTTTCCTGGGAAGGATTCGTCAATGCCGTGAGAGGCGATATACGCTCTTCCTAAAATATTTGGGATTGTGTGATTGTGGTGGGTAAACGAGATAGAATCAGAGTGTAGATTCATGAGAAGCAACCAACATACATGAGAATGTGGGATGACACTATTCAATGAGTATTTGATTTCTATCACTTCGATATGATTATTCCTTTCATTTAAATTTTTGCTATTGCGTTCACTTGGGATTAAATAAATTGTCACTATTTTATTTCAAGTTATATATGCTATTTTGAAAAGTGATACTGAACTGTTTTATATGTTTCTAAATCTTGTTCGAGTTTGGGAGGAATGCTGCTACAGATCTTAGTGATCATCCCCTACAAACAACATATTTTTCAGATTTTGTACAAGAGGAGGAGCTTGGAGTCGATGAACAGGTGCATTAGGAAGCTCCGCTAAATGGGCATGTGGATCCCTATGTGGATGCTTAGTGCTATACTCTCCTATGTGCTAGACTAGAAAATTCCTTTTTAGACTCGGTGGAGTTTAATATTTTTTTTATTCCGCTGCAAGTTAAATTTGATTCTTTTGGATGTAATTGTCATGGTTGGGTATATTCTTTTGGGATGATATTGTAAATATTAGATATGATGAATGAATTTTTATTTATTGATGAATTTTATTAGTTGCTCTCATGATGTGAATGATTTTAAATTGTAATGTCGTCCAAGGAGGTTTTTGGGGCGTTACATTTACCTTTGTCACTGATCGTACCCGCCATTACCACACCCATGGAATTACGAAAAAAATTGGAGTTATAAAATGTTTGCTAAATTTTTAGACAATTTTTATGCGATATTGCATAATCCATGTTTAGCCACTCAATAAAATATTAGCAGCAATATAGTACTTGAATAATTATGAAGGATAAACAAACTATTGCATATATACAACATCTTTAAACCACGCATATTATTATCAAATGTTTAATACCTGAGTAAAACTGAATATAGTTGTAGGGAGATTAATTGAATCCAATTCGCATCTTCCCTGGACTTCTATTGTTTTAAAGAACATTGGTATATTGATTTCTTACAAACATGTTTGGATGTAGTGAAAAGAGTCAAGGAGAGTCGTTGGTAGTTGAGATATTTACTTGTTAATTCAATGAAGTTACTTAATGGCAATTAAGAAGCCCCTGTTGGGTTGGTTTGGTAATAAAATTAAGATTCTCACTAACCAAATTGTGATTAAATGGGTTGTGCATACATCGGGTTAACACATGTGGGGTAAAAATTAATTTTGGCTTCTTCCTGTAGATGGAGTCCATAAAAATGAAAATCTCGCCCACCCACTCCCGCTGCAAATTTCCCATTTTTTACTCCCCCTCCCTTTTTTTATTTCTCTCTATCGCTTCATCTCTGTATATCTTTTCTCTCTCTCCCTCTCTCTCTCTATCCAGCCCTTGTGACATCACCAATGCCACTACGCCACATATTTCGTCTTCTCCCAGGTATCATTCGGGTCTTCCTCTCTCTCTTAGACACACACACACACATAAATGGAACACGCAAACACAAACGGAACACAGATGCAACAGAGAACATACACAACCACACTTCACATCCCCCCCTCCCCTAAGCGCACACACACATCGCTCAAGACACAAACTTTTAGAAATAGGGCTTGCAATTTGACAAAATTGATTTTATTAATACACTTGTTTTTAGTTGTAGGAAAATTATTGTTGTTAATTTGATGGGTTGAGGCCATTAATTTAAATGCATATATGTTAATTGTTGTTAAATTTAACATATATGCATTCAATTTTAGGCTTTGTGGGTTTGTATTAGTACAAGCTTTTGTGTTTGGGTACAATGATACTTTGAGTTGGATTGTTGATCAATTGCGAATTTGAGTTGATTTGAACTCCATGTATTTCTATTATTTAAATTCTCTTAAAAACAGTTCTCTTACCAATTACCTCCATTTTTTTTTGTTTGTAGATATTTGTATGATATATGCACATTTGAACCATGAAGAGGAAAACAAATGTTGAAGTTGGGAAAATTATGACTGACAAGATGGTAGCCGATGCATCTTCGCAAGGTGGCATTTCAGGTGTTACTGCGAAGAGGAAACGAAGGGTATGTACTATGAACACATATATTACATGGACCAACTCTACGTTATAACATAACTTATATGTTTTGATATCTTTGTTTGATGCATTACATCTATATTCAGCTACTAATGGGTACACATTGTTCGCCATCAAGTATCATAAAAGTTGTAAATGGGTTAATTGACAATTAGAAATGTGCAATGAAGGCCATGGGTTTAGAAGGGTTGACCACCATGAAATGCACTGTGGTTAGGAGGAGCTTATGCGAGTGGTTGGTGAAAAAATTTGATCCCACTACAACTATGTTACCTGTCCATGGTAAATCAATTAAGTTCTCCTCTGAGGATGTTTATTACATAATAGGGTTGTCAAACATAGGCATTTAGTTGGACACTGCAGGTTCTTCGGACCAAACACAGGAACTTAAAAAATCAGATTTTAATGGACAGAGGGAGATGTCGTTGAATACTTTGGTTGGTAAACTGAAAGAATTGAAGCATGATTCATTTACTTATTTCCCCAACCATGAAAATGACAATTAATAGTTTGTGCGCCAAGCCCTTTTGTGGATGTAAATGCATTATCTGCTATAAACTGGAACAAGTTTGTTTATAATGATATTATTGAAAGTATACAACATTTCAAGGAAAAATCAAGGCGTAATATTTGTGGTTGTATCATTGTCCTACAAGTATTGCATTATTTACTTAGTTGCTAATTCATTGTATTGCTTTCTTATTCATGGCAGTTGTATTAATTACTTGAATGTTATTCATTTGCAGATTTTCTATTTTGAGCGCGTGACACTAGCTGGGGAATCCTACATTCCATTTCTGTCACAGCCATTCCCTCGGATGGCAATTTGGGGGGATAAAGAAATAGGCCAGCGCATGACCGCACTGAAAAAATTGGGTGGATTCAAAAAAAAAAAAGGAGTAACTTATGAAGGATATTATACTCTTTAATTCTAGTTTTATTGTTAATTTTTTCATAATGTAAGATATTCTTTACATGACGTGGTATTAACTAATATTTGGATTATCATAGATAATGGTTGCAGTCGAAGAGGCACTCAATGTTCCTGACCCAGATGAGGGACCCAATAAGAGGACAACATTTGAACATTCAGGTTATGTTCCTATCACTGATGTGAGGAGTAAAGTAAGGACAACAGGTGTTGCTTACGCTCAGAACATGCATGTTACCTTTATGTAGGATATATTTGGAGGTAGAACAATACAAATCATTATTATTATTATTTTCAATGATTGACACTTCAATGTGTTATGTAGGATTTTGACAAGAGATTGTCCAAGGTTGAGGTTGCATTGTCTGCATTTCAATCGGATCATGAAGCTTTGTCTGCCAAGTTCATATTTGAAGTTAATGAAATTAAAAAGATGCTAGAAACTCTTTCTAAAAAGGTGTGTAAAAATGGGAGAGACCCACCTATAGAGAAGTATGTGCACATGAGTACACTATATTACTGTGTTAGCATTTACCATCCTACATGTGTATGCTACTTTGTATATTTTATGTGTTGTAAAATGTGAACTAGGAATTATTGGATGACAATGAAGCCGAGGTCTAGGCTGACAGCACCAATGAGGTTATTTTAGTCACAACTTTAAACCAATTAAATTTTTTAGCGCATATGGACCTAAAATGGCAGACACTCCACTTGCAGGTGGTTGATGGGTTGGTTCCCCATATTACAGATGTTAGTTATGAAGTAGGAAATGCAATATGGAACTACACTTGTCATAAGCGACTTGATGCAGAGTATGTCACTTGCACTCTCTATATTCAGTACAGGTTCAATGTTATTCTTCTTTCCACCAAGTAACTACAAAATAATGTCAATTTTATGTACATTTGAGTCAAATACATTAATAGTTATGTGTGAAATGATATGTGATTAGAACATGACCCGTTACCTTAAAAAACTCATCCGTTGAAGTGTTGTGATCCCTAAAAATGCGCTTTCTACTTAAATCATTATTCATTTCATCCTTCACATCTTTGTGCTCGACATTCATCTACGATCGACGATTCTATTAGAATAACTATGTCAATAATGTAAATGACATGTTTTCACGTTTTATTTAGTGTGAACAATTGACAGCCTACCTCAGCTACTTCATATGGTGACTTCAACCAATTACTTATGGCATCAATGGACACTGCCAACTTTCCTTCTTTCTTCATATTCTTATTCAACCAACAATGCTATACATAAAATAAGCAAAGACTTTTAAAAGTATACATGTTTCATACAACATGAAACTTTAAATTTTAAAATATAATGTTTATCATACCTTCTGCAGTACATAGGGTGACTTCAACCATTTACTTGGTTTCCTTTTAGAACATCTACGAAGTATCTTTGCCACTCCTAATTTCTATGTATAGAAATATGATGCCGATTGAGGATAATCAATATCTGTGGGTTGAAACAATGCAAATGCATTCAAACCAAGATTGTTAAAATCCTTCACCTGTACACTTTTAGCCAACTTCACAGTAGAAAATGGTGTCGAAATATGATTATGATTTTCAGATCCATGCATGGCCCACTCGTTCACTCCATTACTCCTGCCATTACCATCCTTCACATCAGTCTCATTAGGGTGAACTTGTGGTATGCAGTCAGAATTGGAATTATTTCCTGATGAGGTTTTCATCATTTTTTTCAGAGTGAAAATCAATGAATTGAATTCTACAGACATTTCATTTAAGTTCGACTGCATTTTGCACACAACGGCCTCGATATTACAAAGTTTTGTTCAATTGCCTATGTGAATCATTTACACAAGATTTCACACATCAAAAATTAAATTTGTAATGTCATAAAGTATCAACAACACTTATTGTAAATCTTTCATCGCTATTGATTTGAGGTGTCTAAATTGTCAGTACTGCTTTCACAAGTGCGCGTGATAAACCATGATTTGTATTTGGTAATGGAACCTATAATGAATAGTTCATATCATTAAATATTATGTACGAAAAGATCATTGCATAATTGAAATAAGATAATACCCACATATATTGTAGCCAGCCTAACTTCTTTAAAAGGATCATACGATCATTAATTTCTTAATCACCTCATGCTGCAATTCGGGGAAGGGTTCGACCCTTGTATGGAACATCCACAACTCCATATGGTGTCACCCTCTCAAGGAAAAAATAGCTTCAAAAAAATATAAGATCTGTCAAACTTTTGGTTGATAACCAATTATACTATTAATAATAGAATGCAAATGTGTAGTAAACAATTAATTACCATTAGGACAAGTATGCACCCATTGATATTGTGCTGATTATTTAGCTTGTACTTCTGCACTCCTGTAATAATGCCATCATACACAAGCTTCACCCAATTCTTCTTGCCTAAACCTCTAACATCTATTATTGAGTGGATAGAAGATGTGCTAACCGTGGTCTTCATTGTGGGGAGCAATAAATACCCAAGTACAAATAAAGCAAATATACGCTTGAACTCAACAAAATCACCTTTCATTTTAAATAATCTACCCTGCAGAACATTCAAAGGAATAACCTTCATTTCTTAGTCCCATTATCAACTCAACATCTACAGGAGAGAACTTCAACGATTTTCCATACACATTGAGTGCACAGCCTTTCGAATCAAAGCACTCCACTAACCATTCACACAAATCTCTCTTTAGTTGTTTACATTTAAGGTTTAACACTCCCCCAAACCAATTTCTTCAACGCCACATCTTTGTTCTTCACTTAACTTGTCTATTATCTTGATGACCATGCTTGGTGAACATCTTGTGCCTAGCTTGACCTTCATAATGTGAAACCCGAGCATACATGCATAATAAGTGGATAAAAAAATTAGTAAAATATTTTATAGTGCATGTTTTAATATATACGAAAAAAAATTTAAATTAAAGATTAAATTAATTTTTGGATTCAAGGTGTTTACAACAATGTCATTGCATGACATTTCTTCCAAGCAGTTGCCTGGTAGCAAGAGGAGGCTCCACGTCTCTCTTCAACTCTGGAAGGTTTGAGGAGATGCTGAAGACTTCTTCCATAGCTTGGAATGGATAGAATTCAATTGTAGAGAGAAAAAAATAGGAGAGAAGGTAGAAAGAGAAAACCTTCGTTTGAATTTTTGGGTTTGCTTTGGAGGCTTATTCGAACATTCAAAGGTATACCTCTAGCCTATTTGGATGCTAGGAATTCATTGGTGTTGTTAATTTTTGATTTGGCTAAGTGGTTATGCTCGAATTTGTGACTAGTTGATCTTCGGACTTGGATACTAAAGTAAAATTGTGGTGAATATGAAATGTTAGGAAGCATATTCATATGCATTTAATTGCATAAATTAAGTTATTTTTGAGTCGATACTTATTTTCATTTGTGCATATGCAAATTGTTAGGGTCAGAGGCTACTACATCAGTTCCACCTAGGGATCGAGCATAAAGCTAAGTGGTGTGTTGGTTGGCGGTGACAGGTGAAGTATACTGCTTCATAATAATTGAAAATAAAATTATATGACTACTATGAGTTATTTCACTACATGCAATAAAGTTTTGATGACTTTATTTATGTTGAGTTGAGCAAATGATAGATCAAATATGTTTTATTGAAAAACTTGTGATTTGAGTAGTATCTACTGTGCTAGACTTGTTGATAGCTTGACATGGCTTACATGTTGTTGGTTTGGACACTGCGCAATTGTCGTGAGACAGCTTGACATTGGTTAAATGTTTGTAGATAGCTTGACATTGCTTAAATGTTGTTGATAGCCTAACATTGCTTAAATGTTGTTGTTGTTGAGTCATAGCACATGTGAACTATTTATTATGTTGTTATATTGGCAGTCATTATGAGATTTCAAAGTGAGCTGAAAACACTTTGATTTTGACGTTCTCCTCAGATTGTGAACATATTTTGTTGGAATAATATTTGATTCATATTTTTTTATTATTTTTATTTATTATGATGCGCAGTACACTCAAGAAAATATTTGTTTACAGAGATCTAAAGTTTAGAGTTGGGTCCACTACATCACTAGTAGAGTTAAGATGAGAGGTTAAGGAAACTGGTTGTATACATATTGTACTAGAGTGTTCGTTTCCTTGTTGATGTAACCGATGAATTTCTTAATTCTTTATGTTGTATTGAGTTACAAAGTTGTGTACTCTGTTATAGAGTTGTATGATTTATATCTTTTATGAGATTAGTGATTGGTATTATTGGATTTTAAATGATTCCTTGTATTACAAGCATAGGTATTACCACGTGTCGAGTTATACTTCCATCTTTGGAATACCAAATAGATCCTTTGGAATGGGGTGTGACAGTGTTTGGTATTAGAGGTAGTGTTTATAGATTCTATAGACATGTCATGGTCTAGTGTTTGTAGTGGACCATAAGAAGTATGTTGTTGAGCTTGTGGAAGTGGTGTATAAGTCGTTTGCCAAGTTTCAAAATGTCTAGCGATTGTATAGTGTATTCATACATCACTATATTATGTTATATATTGGCATTTTCTTACTAATATAGTTCAATAAAAACCGCCCTATGTTGTTGAAGGGGTATAATTTGATCCATCTAGTTTAGCTGTGACACAGGGTTCAGTAGACTGTGGAATATACATAGTGGATTTGATTTTGCACATGAGTAGTTAAGGGTGGTGTAAAAAGTAATTGAAAGTATCACTAGACTGATTGAACAAGATATTTTGAGTGACACATAATAGAGAAAATTTTCAGCCATGATAAGTAGAGGATTTGAAGAAGATTGAAGTTTGACGTCGTAATCGGTGTAGGGGCATTGTATTATTTAATACATGATTTTTCTTAATTGGACTAATGTCTTGCGTATTTGAAATATTATACACTAAGACATATAGACCCTTTTTGTTGATGAGTATCTTGATTTATTTACATGTTTAGTGGGTAATGCAAAGAGTAGTGCTGGTATTATTATCGGTAACATTGGTTTTGGGAGAAAAATTACCAATACTATTGTATGTAGCATATTTGCTATGACTTGATAGGATACTCAAGCTACTATTGAGGTTGTCACGAGTACACTCTCCAATTCTAGTTAAGATTGCATGGACTTTGATATACCTAAAATTCACATAGTCCTTGTATAATATACCATTGGATGGAACATTGACATTATTGCATACTAATTTATTTGTTTCTACTTTAGTAGGAGGGGTATGGTTAACAGAGACTATATATACAGGTTATGTGTTGAATACGGAAGTTGTAAACCCCCACATGTTTATAGTAATATAATGATACAAATTGGTTGGTAATTTAATATATGTGATGGCACAGGAATGAACTGTATAGGTTATAACCGTAGAAAATGTTAATAGTGTAGAATCGGGTAAATATTTAGTTGAAACTTAGTTTTGACTTGTAAATATATGAAATCATTTGTAATATAACTTATACCAACTATGTTTGATGTACAAATGTATGTTGTAAAAGTTTGGGTTGGTTTTGGAAGGGTTTGGAAAGGATTTGAAAAGAAAAACAAAGGAAGAGGGCAAAACTGAACAAACTGTACCGATACGCTGCTGT